AGTGGGCTATTCTCACCTCCATCAATGGGCTGTTCACACCTCCATCAGTGGGTTGTTCTCACTTTCATCAGTGGGTTCACACCTCCTTCAGTGGGCTGTTCTCACCTCCATCTCTGTGTGTTGTTCTCACCTCCATCAGTGGGTTTTCACCTCCGTCAGTGGGTTTGCACCTCCACCACCGTGTGCTGTTTTCACCTCCATCAGTGGGCTCACACCTCCATCTCCGTGTGTTGTGCTCACCTCCATCAGTGGGTTCCTACATGGCCAGGTCTCCCTGACGAAGCCTTCCTCTTCAGCCATCACCTCCTATCAGAACGGTCCCTTGTTCAGAACCCTGCAGTCCCTCATTTGAAAAGGAGTCATTTCCCGTGTTATCTCACGGGGCTCTGGAGTAGAGGCAGCACTTTGTTCGTGGGTGAAGACCAAGTCAGCAAGAAACTGTCTCCTCTAGTCACTCAGCTGCCGCTTCCCTTCCTCCCCTCCCGATCTTCGGGCGGTCAGGTGTCAAGCTGACAGGCTTGCTGGCTTTTACTACCCTTAAATACTTATGCTAATGGCAGTGACTATGCACGGAGAATTTGCATATATTATCATTTGACTTTCACAGAAACGCTTGGAAGTGGCACCTTCATCTCTGCGGAGGGGAGCCTCAGGGCGTCTCTGGAGAAAGCTGCCCACACCGGAGTCAACCTGGTCAACCACCACCACGCTGCCTTCTCTGCCACACGTGAGTGTCTCAAATGCTCCCTGAGCTCCCTGTGCGCCCTCCTGGGGCACGGGCAGGCCTTTCAGAGCTCCGAGCGCCCGTGGAAGGCACAACCTCCTGGACACTTCCTCCCGTCTCAGACTCGCTCCCACTGAGTGCTTCCACGGTGACTTTCATGTTTCACACTCTAATCCAGGCTCGGAACCCTGGCACGCCCCTTTAGCACCAGCACTCAGGAGGAAAAGGTACATGCCCCTGACCTCTGTTGTCCCGGTCCTAGAGAGGCTGAGGCAGGAGGATTGCTTCAGGCTAACGGCCAGCCAGAGACACTTGGCAAATGCTGCTCCTGTGCCCTGACAGCTGCCTACTGAATCTCCTGGGAACAGGTTTGCCAACTTATCTACTGAGTTTGTTTTTTGAAACAGGGTTTCATGTAGCCCAGGCTGGCCTGGAATTTACTATGTGGCTAAGGCTAGCCCTGAACTCTTGGTGCTCCTGCATTCACCTCCTAAGTGCTGGGAAGACAGGCATGTGCCACTTGCTTTGAATCTTATTCCTAAGGGAGTCCAGGAGGGCTGGCAAGTGTGGTTTCTTCATTCTTACAGCGCAGACAACTCTCAAAGTGATTTTCTGGTCTCTTGAGTAAACATTGACTTAGACAGATTAATACAAACTTGACAAAAAAAAAAAAAAATCAGTGTTTTGATTTCTGATACTCCACAAACCACTGAAGATGAAGAGAATTCCTTTCAGTGCTCTTTGGAGGTGCTGTTTTGTCTCTGTTTGTTCTGTTTTTCTGCTTTGTGGCACTGTGCTGTGTTGTGTAAATCCACTGCCCTGACAGTCTGCTGGGAAAGCCAAGCTGGCATCCAGAGCCATTACAGAAATGTCACGGTACAGGGATGAGCCCAAACTCAGCTCCAAAATGTTAAGAACTTTTGATATTTTTTCAAATATAGGCAAACAGTCTTACTTTTTTTTTTCATTTAAAATTGTTATCCTACATTTTTTCATTTAAAAACGAAAATTTTTAAGGGGGGGGGGGAACCCACCCAAAGCACTGAGTTACACATCAGCACTGAAATCCAGTGGCAATGGTCACCTGAAATCCCAGCCTGGGGTGGTGGGGGTGGGAGGGTCAGGAGTTCAAGGTCATTCTCAGTTACAAGACAGAACTGCTCTACTGAGCAACAGTACTGCTCGGGTCACTGAGGTCAGATGGTTCTTCAAGCTCGGTGGAGCTCCAGGCTCCTGTGTCTCCACAGGCCCGAGCCCCATGACACTCACAGCCCGCCCACCTCCTCGGTCACCCACTGGGCATCTGGACCCATCCTACTCTTGCCTTCTGGCTGTAGCACCGTAGGACTCTAGGTCATCTTCGCCACCTCCAGGCCAGACAAGACAAGGCCACCCTCCACCCGTTCAGCGTGCAACCTGAAGCTTAGACCGTCTCTCTCCTCTGCAGGGTCCCCGTCCCCACTTCATCTGTGTCTGCCTCACTCCGGAGCTAGCCCATACCAAACAGACAAAGCTCCGTCCACACGGGGTGAGGACTGCCGCGGCTATGCACCCAGGCCCCACAACCTTCGCTGACCTTTCTCATCAGAGGCTGGAGCCGATTTTCTTAGGATAGAAAAATACCAGAAACACTTGAGCACACGGAGGCCACACAGAAGCAGGGCTCTAACTCCTGAGAGTGAGCTGTCACAACTGCGGCTGATAACCTGAGTTGCTGTTTATTAGGGGCTGGCCCAAAAGCTCAGGGTGGCTAAGAGCAGCGGCTGCTCATCCCGAGGGCCCAGGTTCAATGCCCAGCTCACCTTGCTCGTAGAGCAGCTGCATGTTTGAGTCTTTGTAGGCAACCAGATTGTTGAGTAAGGCAATCACGCTCTGCATGGTGTTTCCCAGAATGCTCTCCTGGTGCTCCTGCAACAGACCAGGCAGAAAGGCCATTACATCACCACAAGACAGAACTCTCTCCTTCACTCTCCTCGAAAGGTGAGGGATCCCCGTGTGTACTCTCCTGTGGCAGGTCCCAAAGCTAGGCCCTTCCCTCCAAAATCCCAGGAGGCCCTGGGCGGGCAATGCCTGCCCAGGAGTGGAGAGTCAGCTGCTTGTCCTCAGCTGGGCGGCACCAGGCGTGGAGTGCAGGGGGCTCAGGGCCCTGTGAGCAGGCTTGAGGCCGCAATGTGAAACACTCTGTCAGACTTGTGTTCCGTCAGGGTGGCCCCTTCCCTCCCCTACCACCCAAGCCGGGTCACACTGCAGCCACAGCTTGTGGCGCTCCTGTCCGTGGTGCTGCAGTCCAGCAAGGTCGGTGTGACCCCTCAGGGGACCTGACTTCCTCAGCTCAGGCCGTCACACAGCAGGGGAACTGGTCCCAGGGGTGTGTGGAAATGATGCCATCTTTGGTCTTGGGTTTCACGAAAGGATGCGTGTAAGGCCAGCAGGTCACACGGAACTCACTTTCCTTGCCCTTCCTTTCTTAACAACTGAAGCCAACCTTAACAGCCGAAGTTCTGTGCCCCACAGAATCCACGGTAGAGACAAGTTTCTAAGTCCAGGGTGCACACTAGGACAGGGTTCCCACGCCCTCACTGAGCATGGGCATTTCTGGAACCCTTACTACAGTCCCAGCCCTCGGCACTTGCTAGAAGCAGGGGGCTGCCGGCTGAGGAGGCCCAGGGAGACACTCCCACCCCACCCGCCTTTCCACACTCTCACACACACAGTCAGCTCCATTTTAAAACATCAGTCATGTTTGCTAGTGACTGAAGGTGCGTTTTGTGCCAGGTGATGCCCTGGGAATCAGAGGGTACTGGAGCACAGGGTTCCTCATCCTCCCAGACCGCGGCCCAGGCAGCAGCATGGCCAGGAAACCACAGCACGTGTCAGGAAGAAAGGGGAAACTGAGGGACGAGCTGGGAGGACTGCCTTGGGGCTACGCCTGCTGTGGGTAGGGTGGCTGGGATGGAGGCCACCTTGAAGGCAAAATTGGATGGAAATGCACCCCTTTCTGAAGACGGAAGCGTCTGGACTTCCTGGGGTTAGTATTTGATCAGGCTGACCCTGCAACCTCACACAAGTTCTTAAGCTGCGCTTTAGCAGGTGCCATTAGTGTCTTTGGGTTTTTGCAACACGTGCTCACTGCACCCTAAGTGTCCGTGGCTTGTACTGGAAAATGAAGAGGTGTGCGCTGGGGAGCCAACCAAAGTCCGGTGTGGTGGAGGCGACCTCAGCCGAGGGAGACAGTTAAGAACGGCGCGAACTCATTGACAGCAAACAGGAACCCGTGGTCTGGGGATGGGGTGGGGAAGCGCTGGCGTGGGCGGAGGAGGGGTGGGTGATTGGGGGTTTCCTGTGAGCACTGATCTGCAGAAACAGGCCGCGTCTGTTCCTTCACTAGCCCTTGGGGCTCTGCTCACCCGGTTCCTTTCGGGCTGGTGCACCTGTGATAACAGACGGGGAGTGGCACGGAGCTCACCTTCCAGGGCACCTGCTCTACCCACAAATGCTTGTTGAGCTATTTAGTGTTGTTTCCAGGAGGCCTGGAAGGATTGTGGTGACAGCCACAGGCTTGGGATTCTGTTAACTTTATCATGTTTCCTCACACTTCTCCACACGACATCCACACCTTGGCCCAACGCCGGGACTTCGAGTTTCCTTAGGAAACCATCCACAAGCCCAAGTTCGAAACTCACTGCCCTCAGGACACCTGGAGCACTCTCTTCGGCCTTCTGGGGTATCCCTCAGCCCTACCACTGACCCTGTCCTTTTTCACTGTCCATGCCCATGTTGACCAGACTTGGCAAAGCCTTGTCTGGGATACTGGCCTTACTGCAAGCCGCCTGCCCGTTCTAATGACCTGTTCTCATGTTTGTCTCTGAGTTCTGACACACGTGAATACACACACTCCCACGTGAATACACACACTCTCAGGTCCACAGTGCACTGGCATTTCCCTGCCCACTCTGACTGGGCATGGCTGTGACTGCTCCTCAGGGCCAACAAGGCTGTCACCTTCCTCCTCATCCTGTCTGTAACTTCCAGCCACCTGGGAGCTGAGAAAACACATGGGCAGAGAGGCCAGGGCCTTCTAAGGCAACGTACGGCTCCGGAGCTTACAGAGCCCAGGGTGTGCCCGTGACCGGGCATCCTCCTCCGGACTGACTGTCCCACTGTGGAGAGCCTCGAAACTCCATGTGCCTCTCTGACAAGGCGTGCGCTTTCCACGTACAGTGTCTGACACTGATTTCAGTGTGCACACAGAGCCCCTGGGCAGATGCCCACAAGCAGGGTGTCCCTGGCGCTGGCTCACGCTGATGGATGTGCAGGCACCAACTTCATCCAATTGCGCGTACAGTTGGACGGCGACGGCGGAAGAAAGGGCTGGTTAATAGAGCCCAGGTGCCGTGGCATGCTCTTCTTGACGAAGCAACCGCACAGAGCAGAGCTGTTCTCCTCAGAGGGCCAGGCCATTCAATCTCTGATTTGGGTCCTTTTTGGAAAACGACAGCCCCAGTCCTTTTCACAGGCCAGTAGCAGTAAACAAAGGCCAGTCTCGCCGGAGATAAAGCTCACAGCGGAATGCACCTCTTTTTTCTTGTTTTTCTTGTTTTCAAAGACATTATCTCCAAATTGGGCTAGGGGACCATTTTTGGCCTGGAAGTCAGAGCAGCATGCAGCTTCTGGCTTTCCTGTGACAGGATTCCAGGTGGGAGGACGTCCCTCCAGCCCCCCCCCCCCCAGGGCCTGCTACTCCTGCTCCTCCTCCAGGGACCAGCAATGGGGGCCTCCCCGAGCTGTGAGCTGCAGGCCAGCTCTCAAACCTCTTACCCCTGGCCACCAAGAGGCCAGGTCAGATCCTAGCCAGACAGGCAGGGCTCCCAGCAGGAGGTCCTGTAACGCCTCAAAGAAAGGCCTTCGCTGGCCACATCTGCAGAGGCCTGCGGCCCCAAGAAAACGCCCTGGCAAGCACACGCTCTCACCACCACTTCGGGGCTCAGGAAGCGGGGCCGTGCATCAACTATGAAAGAACATTCGGTGCAGAGTGTGGGATGAGGCCCCAGCTCCACACTCTGCAGACAGCGCCCTTCTGTTCTCCACACTGCCGCAGACTGTGTTCACCTTCATTCCCGAGCCAGCACAGATCCTGAACCGCACACATGCTAAAGTGGCGACTTAATAAGACTTATGCTCTAGGGGGCTGGAGAGATGGCTCAGTGGTTAAGAGCACTGGCTGCTCTTCCAGAGGATCTGGGTTCAATTCCCAGCACCCACATGGCAGCTCACAATTGTTTATAACTCCTGTTCCCAGGGATCTGATGCCCTCACACAGACATGCATGCAGGCAAAACACCAATGTACATAAAATAAAAATAAACACATTTTTAATAAACTTATGCTCTGGAGTTTCTTTGCCTGCTTTTTCAACTCTAGGTAACAGGCTTCTACATGGAGCAGGCAGGCAGAACCTGCACAGAAGGCTGTCTGCTCACAGTGAGGGGGAGTGAGAGCAGCTGAGGACCAGGTCATAACCTGCAGGGCCACGGGGAAGGCTCGAGCGTGGCCTAAGACCACACCACTCACATTTATCCAGCTGAGTTGCTTCCCCTCTCAGACTTTAACAAGATTGTTCTGTTCATTCATCTCTTTAAGTCGGTGCAGAAAATTATCTGGGGACCAGGACACAGAAGTAAGCAAGCGGGCACACCATAATGCTGCCAGGAGACGAGGGCCGGGAGCTGGTTCTGGTCAGAGGCCAAGCCACCCAGGTGGCTCCTCTGGGCCAGCCCAGGCCCTCCCCAAGAGTGTGTGCCTCGGTTCCAGGGTGCACAGACAGAAACAGGAGGCAGGGAACATCGCCCTTACTGCCCCGACTCCAGTGTCTGCGGCGCCTTAGACAAGGAGGGAGCCCACAGCTGTGTTCTCCTGACGCCAAGGCAGGGCAGGAGACAGCCAAGCACACAGGCCCTGCAGTCTATCACTGGACATGATGGGAGGTCCAGACACCAGCATCGGTGGAGTGACCTCACAGGTGGCCTCAGGAGGGCTAGGTGGACGACATAGCAACACAGGAGCTCGCTGTGTGCAGACAGACGGCTGGGCACGCGCCTCATCTCCGCTTCCCATTTCACCCTCACTTCCTTCTACAGATGAGGAGGTGACACAGCCAAGCACAACCTGCCATGCTCCACCCCGGAGCTCCGTCTGGGCTGGCAGAGGCCCCGCCTCTGTGGGTACAATGCTGAGAGAGGTCACAGAAAGGGTGGGTCAAACCAGCCAGCACTCGGCCAGCCAGCAGCCGGTCAGGTCACCTGAAAGGGGTGAGGAGGGAACGAGGCTACTCACACCAGAATCCAAGCGCTCGCAAGGCAGAGGGATCTGAGTTCAAGGTCAGCCTGGGCTACAGAATGAGAGCCTGTCTCAGAAACAAGCAAACAAAGCAATCTGCATCCAGGGTGGGGGAGGGAAGGAACCCAGGAGTGCTGACCTGGGCCGCAGGGGGGACACATGTCCTCTCTCCCTTTGGGCTACGATGGACCTGACTTCCACTGCCACCAGAGCCCCGGCACTGACCACTGAGCTCTAAGGACGCTTGTAGGTCTTACCCAAAACAACAGCACGCACACTCGAGCTGCTCTTCAGGCTGACGTATTGATCAGGGAGCCTGGCTCAAGAGAGAAGGCACTCCCGACCGCCCACAAACCGCGAGCCCAGGCCAGCTAAAGGACAACACTCACCTCCTTCCTCCACAGCCCATCGGGAGGCACTATTGGCATCATTTGTGTGTCTGACGCCACAGTGGGGGACATTTAATAAACAACACTGAGGGGGCTAACAGAACACAACACCTGAGTCCAGATGATCAAAATGGAAGCAGCAAAATTCAGTGTTGGCTTCGCAGATGGAACTCCACTAGGACA